TGGGGCAAAGTTGCTTGGTTCATGACAGTTCAAAGCAAAGCAGGTGAACAGTGCCAGAGAGGAATGTGGAAGAATCATATCCATTACCCAAGACCACGCCTCCACGACCCACCCAGACACATCCAGGAGCATGCTTTACTAATCTGCTAGGTATTTCTTAAATCAAGAAAATTGACATATCAGGATTAATGATCACAATCTACCTCATGTTAACCTCGTACCCAAACAACATCTTCTAAACCACACTTAATCTCAATAAAGACAACAGCAAGTACATAATTCCCCATAACGTAATAGTTAGCAGGGCCCTGGGGACCATAGCTGCAGCAGCCTCTGGGTGTCTGGATGGCTGAGTAGAGTGAAATGAATCCTGGAGAAACAATTTCCTAGAAGCCTCTTCTCAAGAAGGTATCCTAGATACAGTCTTCTCAAAATGAAAGGTTTATTCTTTTGTACTCTTGACCTTGTGATGGGTAGGATCTTGCTGATTTTTGAAATACTGTTAGGTCATCTTTCTTCTTGTCCCTGTACAAAGTACTTGCTTTCTTTTTAATGGTGCTAATCTTATTAGCACCCATACCTTCTTTTGCCCCAAGTGTATACATAATTCCTTCTGTATCAAAGTCTTAATTTTTCAAATTTCTCTGCTCTTTCTTGTTTCATGGGTTTTTCTGTTTGTTTGATTGGTTGGGTTTTTTGTTGTTTTATTTTATTTTATTTTATTTTATTTATTTTTGAATAGAGAATCAAACTCATGACCTTGCCTGGCAGGTGCTGTGCCACTGGGCTATATCCCCAGCCCTTTTTCTGCTCTTTCACCCTTTATTTCCATTATAAATATGACTAAACACAGCCAGTAGTACCCATGCCACAGCCTAAATGTTGTGCTACCTTCAAATTTCCTTCACCAGATAAATAAGCCCACTGCCTTCTCAGTCTCTGTCAACATCTCAGGACACGGGCAAAATGTAGGCAATTCTTCTGCCAGAGTATAACACACATGGCTTCTAGTCCAATTGTCAATGGAGTCCTTATTCCCAACTGAAACTTCTAGAGCCTGACTTTTACTATCTGCTTTCCTATCAGCATTCTAGTCTTCTGAACTCTGACCAGAGTCAACCATCAGGCTCTGCTTACTCCGTTAAAAAAAACTTCTGGAGCCTGAATCTCCAAACATTTCCAAACCCTCCCCACAAACAAGTTCCAAGTGCTTCTAAACCACATGGTCAAGTACAGGCATAGCAACAACCCCACTCCTGGTGTGAAATTTCTGTATTAGTCAACTTTCCTGTTACTGAGACACAATATCCAACACTCATAACTTAAATGAGAAAAAATTTAATTTAACTAAGTTTCAGTCCATGATGAGCTGACTCCAAGGAAGAAACATGGCAGAATGGTGTGGTGAAACAAAGCTACTTAGTTCTTGGTATCCAGGAAGCAGAGCAGGGGAACAGTGACAGAAAGGAATGGGGAAAGGACCATATATAATACCAAAGACTATACCTCTATGACCCACCCAGACACACCCAGGAGCATGCTTTATTAATCTGCTAGGCACTTCTGAGCCAATGAAGTTGACACAGCTGGGTCAACAACCACTCCATTGATGGATTCATAATTTGATAGCACTAGTGCAGACAAGGAAACCCTAGTAGGCGAAATGTAGTTCAAGGGTGTGGAACATGGAGTCATAACCTTGATGCTATCTAATTCCTGACCTCTTCCTGCATGGCTCCTCCCCTTTCTATTTCCTGGCCCCCATGAGGTAATCAGCTTTTCTCCACCATTCCCTTCCACAAGATGTACTGCCACACCACTGGCCAGAAATAATGGAGTCAGCCAACCTGGGACTGAAATCTCTAAAATATGAGCCCAAATCAAACTTCTCTCCTTAGAGTTGTTTCTCTTAAGTATTTTGCCCCAAGCAATGTAAAGCTGACTAGCACAGGGCCCTACAATGGATACACTATAGAAAATAACAAAAGATGGTAGCCACTAGATAAGTACTTCTAGGGGTAATTACCTATGCTTGAAGAAGGAAAAGCTACTATTCCTGTAACTGTTAAAATTCCTTCCGTTTGGTTATTGTTCTGGTTTCAGATAAGACCCTTTAGAGAAGACTGTGGGAAATCTACTTAAATCAGCCAAGATTGTCAAGCCCTTCTTCTAGGTGACATAAAATAAACTTTGTTCAAGAAGTACCACTTTGAAAATTACACCCAGTGCTCTCTTTATTTGCTGCAAGAAATAAACCTTTCTTTCATCTTTTATCTCCTAGTTGTGCTTCTCAGGTTTTTTATTCTAAAGAGAATAAAAAATGAGAAGAAAATAAAAACAACACAGAATTTCAAAACAAGATGATACGAAATCAACAATGGTTGTTATATTGCATATTATTATCTTCAAAGTAGCTGTTCAGATTACCAGATAAAGCCATGCAAAATTGACCAAATAATTAGGCATTAACTGTTCCTTTCAATAAACCAACAGAAATTAGCAGTACAATTACCTTAGCTGTCTTGTGAGTGTGCATACATATATATTTTTTCCATTCCATCTTTTAGTCCTTTCCCCCACCCCGGTTATTCCTTCCTTTTGAGCAGTTTCTTTCCCTTTCACAATATCTATTGTACTTTTCAGATTTTGTTTATTCTTTCAGTTTCTTACGCTAGAGAGACAATATGTTGTTTATACATGTGGGTCTGATTTATTTCACTTAGGACTATGGTCTCTACTTGCATCCGTTTTCCTAGAAAAGCCTCAAGTTTATCTTTCTTTATAGATGAGTAATACTCCATTGTATAAAATACTACATCTTATTTATCCATTCCTCAGTTGATGTGCATTTGGGTTGTTCCCAAGATTTAGCTATGAGAAATTGTGCTGCTATAAACATGGGTGCACATATATTGCTGTGGTATGATGTTTTCAATTTTTCTGGAAAATACCGAGAAGAGGAATAGCTGGGTTGAATGGGACCTCTAATCCTAGTTTTGTGAGAAATCTCCACACTGATTTCCACAGTGGTTGTAGCAGTCTACATTCCCACCAATAGTGGAGAAGGGTTCCTTTTTCCCCACAGCTTTGCCAGCATTTGTTATAGTTTTGCTCTAATAAATGAGTGCACTGTTACTAAGAGGCAGATGTTATGATAATGCACAATGTATGAAACTTTCATAATGACAAAAATGTGCCATTTTCAAAGAGTGGGGAGGATCTAAGCATGTAGATCAGTGGTAGAGTCCCATGGCCTGGGTTCAACTCCCAGCACCAATAAATAAATGAGCTGACTTAAACAGATGGAAAAAATGAGTCCAATAATAAACATGTTTTGTTTGAGGTATCAACAGACCATACATGAGAAAATTCCAGGTCACAATTCTAGGTTCAGAACTTGATTCGAAGTTAAGAAATACAAACCACCACTGGTGAATTCTTACCATCTTGTTTGGTGAAGCTCTATATCATTTCTCAGGACTTTTCTCCCCCCCTCCCCACCAGGGCTTTTCATTATTATTTTTTATTCTCTTTAATGGTTTGATCAATGTTGTATTCTTACATCTGGCAATCTGAGCAACATAGTTGAAGATAAACAGTATGTAATATAACAACCACTGTTAATTCCTATCATTTTGTTTTGAAACCCTGTATCATTTTATTGTTTTTGCTTTGTTTTGGTTTTGTCTATGTTGTTGTTATTGTATTACTGTTTTTTCACTCTTTATAATAATAATTAAAAAAGAAATACAAACTAGAAGAGTTTTTTCCCATAGAGAGACAACTGAAAATGAAAAAGGTGAGATACCTATGCAAAAGGCTAATAGAAAATACCATGTGAAACAAATAAAGTGTACAAGTCAAGGGAAGAAAGACATGCTAATGAATGTGACAAAGAAAAAGTTGGGGAGAAAAAATACACAACCAGGATACTTCAAAATATATCTAGCTATAAAAATTTTATCAAGCTTTTAAAAATAACAAAGCTACCCTCTACTTTCGTATGTAATAATTTTGAAAAAAGTCCATTTATGCACGCAAAATCTCAGACAATAATGAAAATAGTTCAGTTCAATCTTTATTTATGATCGTGAGGCTGGTATAGATATTTTCTTACAGCCTCTAAAACAAAAATACAGTACTGTTGCACATTTAATTGGAGTATGGATGAAAGATAAAGAATATGATGCAACAAGACTGTCACCCAGGAAACCAACTAATTCCTGGAAAATTGTGCAACCTTATTAATGTAATACAATACTGCTCAACATCTCAGCCAGTTCCATAATGTGAAAATAATGAAAGAATAGTCTTTCATAATAACAAATAGGACAAGAAAATACAGAAATAGATAAATTTAAAATAATTAGTTCAGAGGACAGGGAAAAGTGGTCCTTATTGTTTAATGGGTACAGGTTCAATTTAAGAAAATGAGAAAGGTCTGGAGGGGGGGATGGTAATGGTTTCATAACAACATTACTACACTGAATGCCACTGAATTGTATGCTTACATGGTTAAAACGGTGACTTTTATGTTATATCTAATTTACTGTAATAATACAATGGCTAGTGCAATTCATATTTTATATTATAAGCTAAATACTAATTCTGTAGAAAAAAATGTTCATACCATTTTTTTAAAGCCTCATGTCTTAGCCTGGGTTACAAAGTAAGCTCAAGGCTGGCTGAACTGCATAGTGAGACCCTGTCTCAAAAAACAAAAAAAGTCTCAGGTCGCTGAATTCATGACTAAAATTCAATAAGGAGGAGAAAAGACATTGATATTGACAAAGGAAAACAGAAGACAAGATAAAAACAGTTTTTTTCATTTAAAAATTTTTGTCAATTATTCTTTAATTTATATTTTATCTTAGTTTAGTTTCACAATAAACCTACAACAAATTTAGCAAGACATACTAATGAACCAACCATCTAATTTTAAGGGCTAAATTTTTAAAAATGCTTCAAATTCAAACATGAAATTTTTAAAATATACTCACTACTACTCATAAAGAAAATCATCCACAAACATGGGATATGAAAAGTCTTCATCAGGCTGGGGATTTAGCTCAGCAGCACAGCGCCCACCTGGCAAGCGCAAGGTCGTTAGTTCGATTCCCGGTACCAGAAAAAAAAAAAACAAAAAAAGAAAGGTCTTCACCATACCACAGCTCAACTGGTAACAAAGCAAGCAGGAAATGCTCATATTACCTGGTACTGGGTTAGTTCCCCATGACTTGATTTGTGACTCTGCCTGGACATTTTTCTCTTCTGGTCACTATAAAACATATTAACATACTTCTCCCCCCTTTGTAGTCCAAAACCTTGTCCTTCCTGCCCCAAATTACCCAGTGCTCAATAGCCACTCAAATACTATTCCCCTTTCAAGTACAGCACTCTTTATTATGAAATTTTCCTCTACTAATCCAAACCATTGACCACTTGGTTGCTAAATTCTAATACCCTTTATAGTGTCAATGAGTGCTTCTCCATCTGTAATGACAAGAAATTTTAAAGTTTTTTGTTTGGTTTTTTTTTTTTGAGGCAGGGCCTCTCTATGTACTACAGGTTGGCCTTGAACTCACAGTGATCCTCCTGCCTCAGTCTCCCAAACGCTGGGATTACAAACGTGCACCCCTGTACCTAGCTAAAGTTTTTCTAATTCACTGTCGACCGCCACTTTTATAAAAATGAAATTAAAATTATACCAGAAACCTTTTAAAAACTTCCAAAATAGAAACCACATTTTTGAAATTACACAGTACAACAGACAAAATTATTCTGTTGAATTATTATTTTGTTATTGGGTTTTTTTCTCTTTAAAAGAAAAAAAAGGAAGAAAAAAGTTTCTAAAGCTTATTCTCAGTTTCCATACTAATAGTCAAGTAAAAATAGTTCATCGACCACCATCAATCTGCAAATAATACTTCCAGCAGCACCAAGTAACTCGGGGCTTCCTTCAGTCAAAAGGAAGTCAGTACGGACTCAGCAGAAGCTCATCACTGCTCCAGACACTGTAGGGAAATCCAATAGGTATACAGCACATGCTTTTCCTTCCAGAAATCTATGCTGTGGGGGCAGGGACACCAACAAACATGAAACAACAATAAATAAATACAGGTAAATAAGCTTTGTTGATGATCAGAGGAAAAGATCACTGAAATGCGGCGTAGTCAAGGTAGTTCACTTAAAAAAACAAAGTGAAATATGAATTCAATATTTATTTTTAAATAGCACTCAGGTCTGGAAAGGATGGTAACTCTGAAGTATAAAGAGCACATGTACGGAGGCAGCGAGGTGATAAAGAACATGACTTGGTGATAACACAGTTAGGAGCACATACTGATAGAAGGGGAAGGGAAGGGGAAAGGGAAGAGGAAAACAGCCGATACATTTTAAAATGTTCGACATTGCTGGCTATTACAGAAATGCAAATTAAAACAACACAGATATTATCTTACTCCAGAAAAAAATGGCTATCATCAAGAAATCAAATAATAATAAATGATAGCAACACTGTGGAGGGGAAAAGAACACTTCTATATCATTGGTGAGAATGAAGACTAGTACATTGACTGTGAAGATGCCTCAAAAATTAAAATAGAACCATTTGACCCAGGTAATCTCTTTCTAGGTATCTTCCCCAAAAAGTTAAAGTGTCATATTACAGAGATACATGCATACGCATGTTTATAGCAGCATGATTCATAATAGCTAAATCCTAGGAAAAGCCTAGATGCTCATCAACAGATGACTGGATAGAGAATGTGGTATTTATATATAATGGAGTATGAGTCAGCCATAAAGGAAGATGAACTTACAGCATTCATAGGTACATGGATGCACCCTTGAGACTATAATCTTAAGGGACTAAATGTGACACATAAGTTTAAATATCACATGGCTCCTCTTATGAGAAACCCAAAATATAAATAAAGAGTAAAATAAAAAATAGGCAATAGGAAGTAGGGAGACCTTTTTCAAATGGGAAGTGGAACAAGAGATAGAGGGGGAGGGAAAAGTATTTTAAAAAGAGAGAATTCAAGAAAACAATGGAAATAGGACATTTGCAAACGGGAAGGGGACCACGATTGGGAGGATGCAGAAAGGGATGGGAAGGGGACGGAGAAAGAATTCAGATGTGTTATATACGTGTACAATCTCTTCACAACAAACGTAGTCATTATGTACTGCAAACATTTATTAATTTAAAAAAAAAGGGGAAGAAATCCTGCAAAAGCGGGGATGGGTAGGAAGACAAAGATTATCATTGGCCACCAAAAGATTTCAAACATTTCTTAAAGACAAACAGTAGACAGGAACACACTGACCACATAAGCAGAATATAACCACAGGAGGAAGCTGTGACTGAGATGAAAGCTGACCTGTCCTCTAGACCACAGAACCGTGATGGCAAACATTTTACAGACAAGTGCACAAACTGGAACTAACACCCATTTATTTATCACTCAGTACCAACACCACAGCTGAATCTGAATACTGAGGTGTCATCTTAGGAAAAAAAACAACTCCTACATTAACATCTTTTGTCTTAAAAGAAAAACAACACCCGTGTCATAGGTTTTCCACCACTGCCCTACAGAGATTCCAGGCTAGGAGACACCTGAAGACCTATCCCTAAGGAAAACAAGAAAAAGGGTGAGAAAGAAAGCTAAAAAACAGAGCTGATTAAATAACTCAATACACAAGGACTGCACACATCAAATATTCTACCTTCTTCAATCTCCACCCACAGTGACACACGGAACCCAGTACTGATGGGTTACCAAAAATAATAAAAGGAGAACTCCCTTTGTGGCAAAGACGGCCAACTGTCAAGCAAAATTCAACCCTTCTAGCATAGAGTTGTTCCTAAAAAGTACCTGCCTTAGTCAAAACCTTCGCTTCTGAGACCCTCTTATATCCAGGCAGCACCACGTGTGCAGCAGCGATGCGTCATCTCCTGGCCAAAGCAATTAAGTGCCTTTCTCCCTTCTCTTCCCCTTCCCTATCAGAAGATAGAGAACCACGAGGCAGTTTAAGGATGACAGAACCAGAGGACAGAAAAAAATTGGATCACTAAATCATCACACAAAGAGAAAACTGCTTGCTGAGAATACCCTTACTGGACTGTCAGAGGAGTAAAAAAAATAAATAGTTTTGTTAGGTCATTGAAATTTCCAGACTTATTTGTTGCAGCAACTAACAGCCTTATTAACTAGAATTCTTCCTTTGAAAGGAAGAAAAGGAGGGAAGGAAAAAAATCACCAGAAAAGTTAACTTTATACTATGGTTTTACTGACCCAGAAATAAACCTTCCTTTGTGCCACTGGGCAGACCGGAAGTCTGAGGGTCAGCTTCCTCTCTGTCCACACACAGAGAAAGCCCAAAGAGCCCCACCGAGGAGTGCATGAGGCTTTTGGGGGGACATCTGGTTGGAAGCCAGAACACTGGTTGAGAAAAAAAGAGAGACTATGTTATCCTAAGAGAATCTAGTAAAGATGCTATGATTGGATGCATGCATGATGTCCTTAAAACTCCAATTCTATCTGGAAAAAAGAAAATCACTTCATTGTTCATACCAGTTAAATTAAGCAATCAAAGGAAACCAATTCCAATGACTACCTGGAGTCTGTGTCCCTTCGGTGTTAGTTGTATGAGCCCATTGTGGGATACCGCCTATAATGTAAGTTGTATAACTCCAGCCAAGATCATTAAAACTAGCCAATTATTGAATTCTAACTAGAAGTCAAGGCATCTTACTGCATGAATCACCTGCATTAAAGATAGCAATATTGGGTGTAATGTATTGCTAGCAACAAAAGGACCTCTACAGATATCTATCCTTTTGAATAAAAGGCAAGAAAAGGAAAAAAAAATCAGTAATACTATAAAACAGGAATCCAAGTAAAACCTTTTTTAAATTGTTTTCCTTAATTCTGAAAGGAATGGATGAAAAATAGCCCTGATAATAAACTTAAAATGCCAGGACAAGCTAGTAGACCTAGGTAGAGGAACAAAAAGCGGCCCTTGCACACATCAGAATTCTAATAAAGACTTTGTGTTGGGTGTGGTATCGCACGCCTGTAATCCCAGCACCTGAGAGGCTGAGGCAGGAGCATTACTGCGAGTTAGTCAGCCTGGGTTATATCATGATTTCAAGGCCAACCTGTACTACACAGCAAGACCCTGTCTCAAAAAAAAAAAAAAAAAAAAAAAAAAAGAAAGGAATTTGTAATCTTTTTTGTTTTGTTTTTGTTTCTTTTTCAGACAGGGTCTCGCTGTATAGTCCAGGCTGGTCTTGAACTGGCTTATGTAGCCCAAACTGGTCTTAAACTCACAGCAATCCTCTTGCCTCAGCCTCCCAAGTGCTGGGATTACAGGCATACACCACCATGGCTAGCCAGGAATTTGTAATCTTGCGTCCTGAAAACTGAATCTGGTTGTGTTATGCCCAACAGAATGTTTTCAAAGTGAATAAAGTGGCAACTAAAGGAGAGTTCACCTTCTTAAAAAAACTTAGGATTTTTGTTTCTCTTAAAGAATTAGGAAATGTGGAAACAAACTGCACTGCCTCACTTAAAAAAAAAATCATCCTCTGGTAAGCCCCAATCATCCTCACTGCCTATCACATCACACAACCCTGCTCGCCCATCCTTCCCACCTGACCCCCTTGGCCTATCTCTATGGCCTTTCCAATTTACAAACTTGCACAACCAAGTTGTGAGCAGATGGCCAGGTAAGTTCTGGTGCATTTAACAGCCACTTGCTGCCCCTAGATCAAAACACTAAGGCCCCAATCCTTTGTCTTGCAGTTTACCCATGCAGACCACCCCCTATGTAAAGACAAATTCCCTTCAATCTCTTACTTCCTTTTCCTGTAACATAATCCTAGTAGGAACCGCTCCAACCCATCCAACAAGGATGGAGAGAAAAGAATCAAGTTTCCCAGATCTGATCTCCCAGGAGGCCTCTGGGCCTCTAGGTAAATGTATGGATCCATGCTAAGAGATAATTGGAAAGGAGTTATGTCATCTCTACCTGCCAGCAGCAGCTGAAACCTAGGACATCTTCAGGAAAAAAAAACAAAAAACTTTTTTTTAGAAATGTTTGAATATAGGCAGATCTCATGTCTACTGGTTGCCCTAAGCATCATTTCAGGATGTAGCTAAAATAAAATCTGTCACTTTTTGTTATAAAACTGCAAGTGATTCAGTTTAATAAAGGTTATATTTAGCCCAAAACAAGTTGCCAAACTTAAGCAATAATGGGGAGGAAGCTATGGAAAAGATATATTTAATATCCTAATTACCTAACTGGAAAAAGCACTAAACTTAGCATGTTTTAAAAAAAGCAATGAGAATACTGAATGCTAACTTCTCCTCCAGAGAAAAAGGACATTAACAAGAATTTTAAATGCATTAACAAGCATATAGCTGTATAGCAAAACATCGTCTAAGTATACCAAGAAAAACAGAACAAGCTATTGACTATTAAGTCAGCCATACCAAAACACGAGACACATATTTACCTTGATGTTCCTATTCACCACTTGTTGCCTGGGTTTCAAACCCAAATAAGCATGGTGGTTGCTATAGCAACAAGCCACTTTTGGAATCTACAGCTTAGTAGTACTAAGTACTTACGAGCTTCATAATGTCAGTCCTTCCTCCTACACTTTGAATCACAGCTCAGACTTTGTAATTTTATAAAAATGTAGTTTCACTCTGTCCTTTGTAAGTCAATTTTGTTATTTCAGCAGGAGACATAAATGTCAAAAGAAATAATCTAACTCACCCACCATGCTAAAGAATCAGTAATCATTTAATTAATTAATGTTAAAGATGCCGGTTTGACAAGACAGACAAATTTTGTTGTCACCACTGGAATTTGCTTTTTTATTAGTGTAACTGGGAGAGAGAACACAGTAATGTCTTCATTCATTTTAATAGTATTCCTATCATCTTTCATTTACTAAGAAAGTAAAAATTCAAACATAATATTAAAAAGCAGAATTAGCCCGGTGTGATGGCACACCCTGTAATTCCAGCACCTGGAAGGCAGAGGCAGGATTGCCTCGACTTTGAGGCCAGCCTGGACTACATAGTGAGTTCAAGGCCACGCTGGACTAAAAAGCAAGACCCTGGCACCAAAAATTAAAAAAAATTTATTTTAAGGAAGATTTATATATTTTATTTTTTTTACAAACTATTCCAAGTAATTAAAGGTTAATTATTAATACTGTCCAAAACGAAGGTAGCTTGTTAACTGTTAAATGCTATGTAGTGGATGAAATTCAAAAACATGCTAAGTGAAAACAGACTGCAAGAAGAAATCATATAAGATTTCATTATTTTGAAATGTCCAGCAAAGGCAAATTTATAGTCAGCAAGTATGTTAATAGTTGCCGGGAGGTACAGCAGGTAGGAGTGGGACATAAAGTATTGAGCTGTAGATGGACATAAGCAATCTTATTTATAAAAGGATGAAAATGTTTTAAATGTAATTTACAGCGATGGATGCAATCTTTGATAAAATTACTAAAAACGTCCAGATACCAAACGGCAGGCATCTAATCCCAGCTTCTCTGGAGGCTGGGGCAGGAGGACTGCAGGTTCAAGGCCTGCCTGGACAAGTCAGCAAGATTCTACCTCAGAAACTAGAAAGGGCTGGGAATGCATGCGAATTGTGGGGCACTCAGCTCACCACCCATTACTGCACACGGAGGGCGGGGGGCCGCTCCACAGAAAAAGACATTGCTAAAGATGATTCAATTTATACTTGAAATGGGTGGATTTTACATGTAAAGAGATCTCAATAAAATAGTGGAGGTTTTTTTTAAGAGCGAGAGAACAGAGCTGCAGGGATTCCTGCCAAAACTCTGCTTGTACAGACGAAAAAAGTACAGGCCAATGAGGTTAAGCAACTAGTTTAAAGATCACTCAGCAGACCATACCAAAACCAGAAAACAGCCAGGCATAGTGGCATACTCCTGTAATCCCGGCACTCGGGAGGATGAGGCAAGAGGATTGCTGCAAGTTCTAGCTGAGGATATAGCTCAGTGGCACAATGCCTGCCTGGCAAGGGTGAGATCTTGAGTTTGATTCCTGTTACTAAAAAACAGCAACAACAACAACAAAAAAAAAACAAACAAAAAGAAAACAAGAAGATTGCTGCAAGTTCAAGGCCAGACCGACCCTGTCCCCCCCCCAAAAAAAACCTCAAAAAAGATAAAAATCTAGCCTCACTCTCCCACTTATTCCATTCACAAACACATAATAATATTCAGAAGAGGAAAAGCTGCAAAATTCATTTGTCACCCTTCGAGGCCATATAATTAATTCAAAACGGGTATTTTTTGGGGGTGGGGGGGGGTTTCTCCGGTACCAGGAACCGAACTCACGACCTTGCGCTTGCCAGGCAAGCGCTTTTGCCGCTGAGCTAAATCCCCAGCCCCCCAAAACGGGTATTAACTATGTATTTTCTTCAGCCTTTCCAACAGCAGCTGTATTTCAGGGTAAGTAAATGTTCCTGGCTGAGGAAATAAAGTTTCTGCTGTACAGAAGAATGTAAACTAATAAATGTAGATGGACTGGAAGAACAAGAAATCATCACTTTACAATTCCTAATAAAATTTGGGCAAGAATTACGAATTTTTGCCAAACCCATTAAGTGAATGGTTGACAGGAGAGCTGGGCATTTGTAGGAAACAAAGTATTTCAAAGATTACATTAAGAAAGAAAATAAAATTCATTTTTTAAAACTACTCATGGTTACTCAAAAAAGATACTGTAATTCGATGTAAGTTATTCAACATTATCTACCATAAAATCTTACTTAAAATTTTTCAACTTTAACCTAATCGATCGGTGAACATTAATTTCCGTATTTATAAAAAAATACAGGAACCAGGGATGTCGCTCAGCCGCGCAGCGCCTGCCTGGCAAGCGCAAGGTCCTGAGTTGGATTCCTGGTAACCCCCTCCACTCCGCAAAAAAAAAATACAGGGACTAGCAGCATAAACTGAACACCAACAGAAAGGCAGCCAGAAAATGAGATATTCTACAGGGCAATTAGTCTTGTCCTTTTGGAAAATCAGACTGTAAAACCTAAATCGTGAAAACGCTGACCGTTAAAAATTAAAAGATTAAACCGGTGTGGTATCGCACATCTGTAATCCCAGCATTTGAGAGGCTGAGACAGGAGGATCGCCATGAAATCGACGCCAGCCTTTGGGGGTGTTTGACACAAGGTTTCACAATATCATTCAGGCTGGCCTGCCTCAGCCTACAGAACAATGGGATTACACGGGTGTGCCACCACGCTGAGCTTTGAAAGATTAATCTTAAAATTGATATTCACACAAACAAATACAAATGTGGTATTTCATTGGATCCTGGTCTTGACAAACTGGCTATAGAAGCTATCTGGGAAAGTAGTACAAATGTGAATATGGAATGTTGAGACAATATCCAAAAAATTATTTTCTTAGGTGTGACGATTTCCTTTTGTTCCACAGGGATACGTTTATATACAGTTGCACACTTATATATCAACATGGTTGGGCGTGGTGGCACAGGCCTATAATCCCAGCACTCGGGAGGCCGAGACAGGAGGATCTGGAGGTCGGTTTCCAGTTCCAGGCCTAATCCCAACACTGGGGAGGCTGAGACAGGAGGATCAGGTTGCAGACCAGCCTGCACTGCATTGTCAAATCTCGTCTCAAAACACCCCAGAGAAAAACAAACAAAACACTTGAATGAGTTTAAGAAATTAAAATCCAAGTCTCAACTTCCTAATTCGCTGCGGTCACCACAGAACGCCGATTGCGTACCAACGAGAAACGTCTGGCTGGGACTTGCAGACGAGGGTTCAGGGCGGACGCAGCTCCAGGCACTGCGCACTGTTGTTTCCCGCCGCTGAAGCAGCGAGGCCGCGGCAGGGCCCTCCCGGGTAACATCGCCCTGTGCCAACCCGGGAGCGGGCGCGCCGCACCAAGGTGCACCGAAGAAGCACGAGCGCGAGCTCTGCCCTTCCCGGGCGGACAACACGAAGGCAGTGACTTGCCTATGTTCACAAGAGAACGACACTGCTCCAAAGTCCTAGTTTCGGCTTTGAAGCGGCAGCCTCCCTAAAACGCTCCTCAGTTGCTCCAGAAAACCTGTCCGTCCTCTCCGACTTCACGGCGCGTGCCCGGTTCACCAGTCAGTCAGTTGGCGGATCATGTGGAAGCTAAGGGACAAGGCTTGAAAAGTCCTCTCCAGTTAGCGGGGCTACCCCGGCTTTGCCCACGGCGCGCCTTCAAGGAGGACGGGGAACCCCTCCTTAAGCCCGGGGACCCTGCCACCCGCCTTCTCCGCTGTTCCCGAGGTGGAGCGGTCCTCACTGCTTCCCCACCGCGCTCACCGCAGACTCAGGGAGGCGCTGCGGCCCCGCCCCCGGCCAGGCCCGCGCACGCGCCTTCCGGGTTTGCCCGGGACTCCGCCCACTACTTCCCAGGCGGCGCAATCTCAGAAATCTCTGACTCTGTGAGCAGATGGGACGGTTGAGAAAGACCCTGCATGCCGCCACTGTGACTCATAGTCCTCAGCCCAGCCACGGAGAAACGTGTGAAGGCAGGCGTCAACGCCTCTCACACTGCGCTCAGATTCCAGCACTGGCACGGGCCACGAGCCCAAGTCTCCCAACTTAGAGCGCGAAGGCCGCCCAGTGCGAGCCGCATCCCCACCCCGCGCACGCCGCCGGCCAGCGTGCGTCAGGGGTCACGTGCCGCGTCTCCCCTTCCTCCCGGCAACCAGGCGCTCCCCTGTTCCGGAAGTCGCGCCCGTCCGCGCTCGGCCCCGCCCACTACCGGTGGCGTCAAGCTCAGAGCCTACCACTGCCGAGCCTCCGCCTCCAGGCGCGGGGAGGACTGCCGTTTTCTCTGCGCGAACGCGGCAGCTTCCGGAGCCCTAGACAGTACAGACCGGGGCGCTGGAGTTACCGACTGGGTGGCCTCCGGAAGCGCGTGAGTAAAGGCTGAAAGGTCGGCGGCCGGCTGGCTGCAAGCCGCCCTCGCAGCGGCCTTTCCCCCTCTCCGCAGCTTGCGCTCCACTTGGTTCGGCCGAGACCCACGACGGTTCCGCCCCCTTCTTCCTTGTCATTGATGTTGTTGTTCTTGTCAGTGCCGCAGCCCCGACCGCCGGGAGTTCGAACCCGAGCCGGGGCCGCCCGGGTGGCGCGGTGGCGGCGGCAGCTGCGACGGCTGCGGAGGCTGCTCCGGGGACTGCGGGGGCGGCCGGGG